ATGCCTTAGTTTAAATGAAAACATCACACAACCCTACACAAAAGTGAGCCAGTGACCAGCTCTGCAGAGATCAAAACGTGGACTTGGTGAGAGACATTAGACTTTTCTATTCTCAATGAAAAGTCAGGCCGAAACAGGGTGCTTTCCAAACGCATTTAAACATCAGTGGAGGGCAGCAACACTGGCCAATCTGTGGCTTATATTTCCCCAGATGGCAAATTTAATTTAATTTCTATATCATAGGATAGACCTTTCTTAGGTCAAGGAGTTTCCTACGGATACTTTTCTTTCAAGGAGTCTTTCTCGTATTTAGTACTAAATTAGCTTTTTACTCTCTCCCTTACCTCAAGTCTTATGAGGTCTGGCCTGGGGCAGAGCTGAGAAATAGGTACCTTTTGCCTATGAGAAATCTTTCTGCCTTTATCCCAACTTTTCCCTTGTCATCTCACAACAGTCCCTATATCAGGAACCTGGAAATCCCATGCTTAGATTCTTTGCTCCTGGTCAGAGTTCATGGCCCATTGTCTGGGCCAGATGTACATTTGTGGTTCAGATTTCCCCAGATGGTGAATGTAATTTAATTTCTATATCACATTATAGACTTTTCTCAGATCAAGGAGTTTGCCATTCATGCCATTCCTTGAGGGAACCAATGAAGTCTTAACTACAAAATCAGCCCCCTCTTTGCTCCACCCCACCTCCCACCTTCAGATTTAGCCCAAACCTGTCAGGTCTGGCCTGAAGTGAAGAAGAACCTTTCTGATGAAAAAAAATAGTTGTTTCTTTTTCCCATCCCCTTCCCCATCTTTCTTTTGCTTCCTATCTCTCCCCTGTTGTTTTGTCCTTTGTTTTTGAAGAAGATCAATGACATCACAGGGTGATGTCTTAACTCGTGTGTAAATTGGGTTTAAGTGAAGCAGAGCGGCACAAAATTGTCAGCCTCACTCTCTCTTCTACAGTCATTGAAGGCCAGTGGCAAGACAAAAGTCAAGATGAATGGTGATGACTGGGATGCATCTTCTATGTCTGACCAAACTCTAAACACTGCAAAGAGCCTGCTACAGCTGCCTTCATGGCCGATAGAATGCATTGTCTGATCCATCCATTCTGCCCAGGGGAAGTCTCCACATGTTTGGGGTAAACAACCCTGTAACTCACCAACATTAGCTTGTATGCTGAGGTGGCTTTACTGAAGTGTGTCCACTGTGCATGCTACAGCTTCTTCTTGACAGGTGAGAGTTGGGTGGCAGGTGGACATCAAAGGTGGATGAGCAGCCCTGAAAAGGGTTTGGCAAGCCCTTACACCAGAGTTGCTAGTCCTCTTTGAACAGCCAAGTTAAGTCAAAATAATTATTAAGAATCTATTATATGTCAGGCAATGTGGTAAGTTCTGGGTATAAAGGAAAGGCAAAAACAAATCCTGCTCATGAGAAGCTCACAGTCTAATGGGGGGGAGACAAACTAAAAACAACTCTGCACAAGCAATCTACATGCAGGATAAATGGAAGATAATCAACACAGGGAAAATAGTAGCATCAAGGGGGATTGGGAAAGGCTTCTTGTAGAAAGTGAAATTTTAGCTGAGACTTGAAGGAAGCCAGGGAAGTCAAGAGGCATAGATAAGGAGGGAGAGAATCCTAAGCATGAGACAGACGGCCAGTGAAAACTAAGAGTTGATAGAACGTAGTATTTGAGGAGCATCAACAAGGAAAATGTCAATGAATCTCAGAGTACAGGGGGAGTTAGGACTTTGATTCAAACCCTGCCTCTGATGCCTACTACCTGGGTGATGTTAAGCAAGTCACCTAACCTACCTAGGCTTCAGTTTCCTCACCTGTAAAATAAGAGAGTTGGATGAGGTGGCCTCTGATGTCCATTCTAATTGCCAGTCTAAGATCCCATGATTCTCTTTTTTCCATGGCTAAACAGGGCTTTCATTGGTGGGGCCTATCCATGCCTTCCTTCTCTTCCATCACAATCAAGTTAAGATATGAAGTCCAAAGCCATTCTAGAGCAGGCTTTTTTAATGTTATTGAATTGGAATGCATTTTAAACTGAGACCTATTTTTACTATATTTGTGGACATCACTTCAGATGCCATGGGAATACTATTCATGACACACTTTAGATTTTTCCCACCTTGAATCTGGCTCCAGATTCATAAATTCATTGAGTCATAGAATGTCAAAACCGCAAGAGAATATTGATTCATTGAGCATGAAAGGACTTTGGAACATAGCTTATAGAAGGTCAAAAGCCCTTGTCAAGTGAGCCCCTGAGTATAGAATGTCAGAGCTAAAAGGGACTCTCTAAACATGGTAAGAAATAGCTTAAAAATAAATGAGGCCAAACTAGTGGCTGGAACACACCACTGTGTACCAACTGCAAGGGTTGGGGTAGAAAGGAAGGGAGTCTTCTTTGGACATTTCACTCCCCAGATCCACAGCCCCTTACCCAATGACTGTAGCTCATAATCTCCTCCCAATAAAAAGAGAGGCTGGTATAAAGCCTTCTCTTGAGCAGGTCAGCATATCCAGAAGACAGATGAATCTATTTAAATCCTCTAGTTCAACCTTCTCCTCTTCAAAATTATCACCACATCATCATCATTTATGGCCTCATTGTTGCAATACGAAGCCCCTAGGGAGGATCAGCTGATGTATGTGCACCGTCATTACATTTTTGCCATAGATCAATGGAACAACTATATCAACTTCTCAGCCAAATATGGTAAAAAATGTGGAATATATAACCTCACTGCACTGTAATGTGACTGCTTACAGGTCTGTTCCTTGCCCAGCCTTTTGATTAAGTGGGCTCTTCTGGTTTATGAAATATATTTTGATGTGGTACATAGAAAATGTCTTCATTTTATGGGTCTCATCTTTTATCAGGTCAGTCCTCTATTGGATTTCGCCATTTTGAGAACCAAAAAGAAGAGAAAGTCTGACCCAGATATTCCTTGAGCAAGTATTTAAGTGGTTTCAGGATGCCAGATGTTGGGCTTTGCTGACAGCCAATATGATTAGAGACCCATGTGGTGAAATCTCAGCCAGCAGTGGGTTCCCCCTGAATCAATGACATTCAGGCAAGCTTGGATAAGAATAGGATTAGTGAGTAATAATTTTCAGTGACTCAGCTTTCAGGGCCCCACATTGCAAGGGTGGCAGTCTTTTGCCTCAATTTCAGGATTCACAGGGTTGGGTCTACCCAGTGTTTGTCCATGCCATACAAGAACTTGTCACTGACAAGAATTCAACAAGCTTTCCATTCTCTTTGCACCCCTACCCTTTTTTGCTCCTTCTATACTATCTGAAGCACCTACTATATGCCAAGCACTATTCTAAGGTACTCAGGATACAGAAAAAGACTACAACAGATACTGCCCTTGAGAAGCTTATATTCTTCTGGAAGAAAAACAACATGTGTAGAGATAAGTAAAAACACACATATAGATGCATGCATATATGTGATTGTATATATGTAAACTTTTATGTATGTACATGTATGTATATGTGTACTTGTGTTTATTTGAGTGCTAACAACTGGGGGATAAGAGAAACTATAGATCAACATTGTATAAAGACAATATAATAATAATAACAACAATAATAATAATATTTATGTGGCACTGATTATATCAGGGACTGTGCTAAGTGTTTTACAAATATTATCTCATTTGATCCTCACAACAGCCCTGGGAAGGAGGTACAACTATTATCTTCATTTTATAGCTGAGGAAACTGAGGCAAACTGATTAAGTAAGTTAAATTAGATGAGAAAGTATAAAAAAAATTGCCATCTGTACTAGTAGTGGAAGTTTCTACACCTTAGAGGTTCGTCTAATATCTGTAAAAGTCTATATAAGAGTACAAATGTGTATGCTCATGCCAAAGTGTGGGAAGTTGGTAGATTGTTGCCTTTTGTGCTCAAAGAGGACCAAAATAACATCATTATGTTGGGGTCAAGGTACAGTGTATCTAACTGTGGCTGATCAGACCAATACAAGCTCAGAAAGTTATACCACAAATCGAGCACAAATAGTCCATGTGAACATTTGTCTTTAAATTTACACATCTACGTTCTTTTGAACTACTATAATTCTGCTTTACTCATAGAGAATAGCACCTTCTTTCATGTGGGCGCACCATCCCGGTCCTGTGCCAGTGTCTCCCACGTCTCATAGTTGATTCCAAAGCTGTTTAGAGAGACTTTAAGAGTGTCCTTGTAGTATTGTTTCTTTTGACCTCTGTGCTTGCCTTATGTGAGTTCTCCACAAATGGAAGCCATTCAGTTTCCTGGCATGGCACTGGTATACTGCCCAGGTTTCACTCATATGGTCAACACAATGGCTCTGTTGACCTTCAGTTTGGTAATCATTCTAATACCTCTTCTGTCCCACACTTTCCTTCAGAGCCTCCCAAACAATAAGCTAGCTCTGGCAATGTGATCTATGACTGAGGGGTGGGGAATCTGTGGCCTCAAGGCCACATGTGGCCCTCTAGGCCGCTAGGTCCTCATTGGAGTTAGGATTCAAAGGACCACACTTGAGGACCTAGAGAGCTACATGTGGCCTTGAGGCCGCAGATTCCCTACCCTGCACGTCCCTGGAAAGTATACTGCCAAAGTAAGTGAACGTATCCACAGCATTCAAATTTCTCCATTTACTTTAACTGATGTTTCCATGTATGGATGGTGTAGTGAAGAACCTCTGTTTCTTTGGTGTCAATTATTAGTCCATGATTAGCACAAGCAGCAGAGAATGAATCCATGCTTTGTTGCACCTCATACAAGGGGAGAGAACGGTTACTGTGATACATAGGAGATCCAAAAAGTTTATCTTCTTTTTTTTTCTCTTCCAATTGATATGTTGTATTTAGACAAAAAAAAAATAAGCAAAAGGAAACAAAGTGGATATGTGTGCTCGTTGTCCTGGGTCTATCTTTGTTAACCCAGGGAAGCATCCCTTGTTGGATTACTAATTATGTCTCCTTTACCAGGTGGGAACCACAGAGATAGAGGGAATGGCACCTGATGAAATGGAGCAAGTGGAGGAGTTTCTGGACCAGCACTGAATGCCTGCACCAAGCAGAAGAGGGCCTGGAGCTAAGCAGCAGCAAGGCAAAGAGCAATAAATTAGAGCAAGTGTCAAAGTTTTTCCCATTGGCAGGCTGGTAAGACCTAGGTCCCTCTCTTAGAAAAATATTTTAAGGGAATCAAACACATGGAGTTACAAAGAAAACCAATCATATTGAAATAAAAGCAAGTTCATAGAGCCTGAGTTAAGAACCCCCGTGGAAAAAGCCCAGACCCTCTTCTTCACTGGTACTGAGTTATTTGTATTGGACTATGAAGTTCTGCCAGATGGGAATGAAATCTCTTTAGACACAAACTGCTTTCCCCTTGGGAAGCTTGAGGAAGGGGAGAATTTGGGATAATGCCATAAATCTGGATGACTGTAGAGGTGCCTGGGAATTCAGGGCTCAATGCTGGGAAAGCTTGCTTTTCTCTAATGATCTGAATGTTTTACACTTGGTGGTGTTAGTGGTGGAGTTATAGCCTATAGGTCCGAAAGATGGACAGCAAAGGTCTCTGAGGAGGTGGTACTCACTGGAAAGAAAAAGAGACTTCCTTTCCCTTCCACACCACCTTGATGCTATCTGGTGTGGGAGTCCCTTTCAGCTTTTGATGGCTTAAATAAACTTTGTCCTACATTTCTCTGTTTTAGCCTGGGTGCCAAGGATCACTATCCACTTTCATGGAAACTTAGATATGAGAAAATTCTGATTTGCTGATTTTTCTGATAAACTTTCAGCTAGGTCATGAACCAAAGAGTTATTTAGTGAGAAGGCCCCAGTGCTAATTGTGTACCGTGTAAATCTAGAGAGTCCATGCTGGGCAAACAGTTATGTAAATAAAAAGGTACAGCCACCACAGTCAGTTTAGCAGAACAACACAAGAAAAAGATGGTGACTGGTAACACATGTAATCATAATCTTTTATAATTTATCATTTGTTAAAAGACTGCTATGAGCTTTAATTTTAACAGAGTAATACAAATGCTGCTCATTGTTCTTCACCCAAATCTTTATTTATTTGTTTTTAATCAATTAGCACAGCTTTATTTTCCATCCTTTTAGTTGATATGTGTATATTATTCTTTTGGTTCTGCTTTCTTCATTCTGCATCACTTCATGTAAGTTTTTTCATAATTTTTGACATTTTTCTAAATAGGACAATAACATTTCATTCCATTCATGTACCACATTTTATTCACCCAATCTCCAATCACTGAACAAGTTATCTATTCCTAAATTTCTGCTACTTCAAACACTGCTGTTGTGAATGCTTCTGTACAAATGTATTTTTTTTTCTAGCTACTAATTTCTTTGGAATGTAATCTAGGAATGGGGATTACTAGGTCAAAAAGTACAGTTTTGCAACTTTTATTTTTTTATTCCTTATTGCTTTCCAAAAGAGTATAACCAATTCACTGTCCCAACAGCTGTGAATCAGTGAGCCTGTTTTCCCTTTTACCCAACAACACTGAATTTTTCCTTCTTTTGTTGCTAGTTTAATAGATATGATGTTGTTTTAATTTGTGTTTCTCTGGTTGCTAAGAACTCCAAAGTTGAGGGTTGCTTTTTTTCCCCTTTCACACAGTTTGTGTCTTACCCTTAAAACCTTCTTGTTCATGTCCTTTGGTCAATTGTCTATTGAAGAATGTACTTTAAATTTGGTTGAGTTTTTTTGTGTAAATTACCTGTGGATTTTAGATGTTCAAACTTTATCAGAAAAGTTCAGTAGAAAGGCTGTTTCCCACTATGTATCTTTTCTCTTATCCTGGTTTCATTGCTTCTATTGGGAGATGAGAGGAAAGTTATTCTGATTTGTATATAATTGAAAATATCTTTTTTGTCCTTTATAATTTTCTTTACCTAATGCCTAGTTAATTCCTTCTTTGATACAATTCCATCTTTGATGCAATGATAGTCTTAATATATATTAAACTTTTTTTGCCAGAGAGGTGATAAATTCAGAATGCAGATTGAGACCTTAGGAGAGTTTATTGTGCTTAACTATATGTATATTTAACAAGGGTTTTGTTTTTCTTTCTGAATTAAAAATGAGGTGGGGTGGAAGATGAAAAGAAGCTGAGAAGGCATATTTTCATTAATTGAAAAAAATTAATGTTAAAAAAGAAAGAAAAAAAGCAGCTCAAGACTACCCAACACAGAAACCAAGTCTGACAGCATATGTAATTCCTTAGTCTCCCCATTGTTAGTAAAAAAGAGGCAATTGAAGGAGGAACATTTTCCCAACTCTTTCTAGGAGTCAAGCTTGGTCATAATATTTACACAGTATTCCATTTTTGTTGTTCCTTCTATTTACATTGTTGTAGTCATGGATGTTATTTTCATGGTTCTGCTAACTTCTCTTTGCATCAGTTCGTATAAGTCATATCATGTTTATCTGAATTCTTCATATTATCATTTTTTACAATACAGTAATAGCTAATTACAACCAGTTAACACCATTTGTTTAGTCATTGCCCAACTGATAGTATCCATTTTGTTTCTAGTGCTCTACTACCACAAAAATGCTACAACGAATATTTTAGTAAATACGTACATATGTATACGTATATGTATCACCTTTATGTTTGTCTTTGACTTTCCTAGTGTATATTCCTAGCAATTGGATCATTGGGTTAAAGGCCTAAATTTCTGCATCTCCTTTAACTCAATTTCAATCTTGTCATCTGTCAATTTTCTAGGTGTTAATGAGATGAAACTTGGGGGTTGTTTTGATTTTCATTTCTCTTATTATGGAGAGAGGGGCCATTTTTACTTAAGTCCTCTATTTTTGAGAAAACTTGCAATGATTCCCTGTTGAAAATAATGTTAACTTTTGGTTTTACACATACTTTTTTAATCATGTAAAAATGGCCCTTCTATGGGGGCAGCTAGGTGGCTCAGTGGATAGAGCACCAGCCCTGGATTCAGGAGGACCTGAGTTCAAATCCGTCCTCAGACACATAACACTTACTAGCTGTATGATCCTGGGCAAGTCACTTAACCCCACTGCCTAGCCAAAAAAAAAATGGCCCTTCTGTACCTATGTATTGTAAAGTCTTTGGTAAAATTGAGAGTGCTTATGCAGTTTGTACTTTGTCAAATGCTTTTTCTGCATCTGTTGGCATAATCATGTAGTATTTATAATAGTGAGTAGATATAATTCTAGCCTAGTACTCCTTTTTTTCTGAGGAGAACAGAGTGGCCAAGCTATTGGTCTCAACTTTCTGCTTTCCTTTTTAGTAGAAATCAATTTCCACCAGATAAGTTTTCAGGTTTAGGCTAAGCTTTTGATCATTACTTATTAATGGGGAAAGGAAGATCAGGTTTTATATTCAGAGTTCGACTCCCTTTTGACCAAATATTAGTTCATATGTAGCAAGTAGCAAAGAAACCCATTTATCTAAGTCAATAGCAAAATAGAGATAAGAGAAAGTATACAAAGGAGAATATTTACCAGATAATACAGAATGAAGGAGCTCCCACTGGGAGCAAGGTAACTCAACTCAAGAAAGAAAGACAGACAGACAGAGAGAGAGAGAGAGAGAGAGAGAGAGAGAGAATCCCAGCTCTCACCCAAGGGGGGAGATTTCTCAAAGTCTCTAGTTTAGCAGATGGAGATAAGGACATGATAGAGATTGGCAATTCCTCTATTGTCAATTTCTAGTGAGACTTTTATTATCCCTTCAGTAACCAGAAGGGAGACTGGCATTTTACCGATTCTCTCTGGATGTCAGAAGCTAAAAGCACCCAAAGAGACTCCAGAGACTTGAAGAGACTGAAGAGACTGGAGCTCTCTTCTCTCCTACACTTGCCAACTCCATCCTGGCCCTCCATAGCTGCAAGACACAAATATCTACCAATAAGGATAGAGTCCCATACCAATGGGTTTTGGAACTCAGGTTACACTTCAATAAGCTAAACAAAAAACAATGACTCCACGAGACAGCAAGAAGATATTAAAACAAAATCAAAAGACTGAAAATACAAGATATCTGATAGCAACAACAACTGATGGGGAAAGCAGGTCAAGGAAAGATAATTCAAGAATCACTGAACTCTCTGGAAAACAGGACTTAACAAAACCATGAACTATGTCTTTTTCTTTCTTTCTTTTTTTTCTTTTTAGTGAGGCAATCAGGGTTAAGTGACTTGCCCAAGGTCACACAGCTGGTACTTATCAAGTGTTTGGTCTGAGGCCAGATTTGAACTCAGGTCCTCCTGAGTACAGGGCCAGTGCTCTATCCACTGTGCCACCTAGCTGCCCCTAAACTATATCGTAAGAAGTGATTAATAAAAACTGCTCAGATCTATTAGAACAAGAGGAGAAAAATGAAGATAGAAAGAATTTGCTAATGTCATCCTGAAAGAAATCCCCAAAGGAAAAGTCCTAGGAATATAATTGCCAAAATCCAGAGCTGCCACATCAAAAAATAAATATTGCAAACATCCAGAAAAAAGCAATTCAGGTGCCAAAGGACCATAGCCAGAATTGCATAAGACCTGAAAGCTATTACTAAAAATGAGAGGAAATCTCAGAATAAAGAATTCTAAAAGCAAAACAAGAATACTTACCCTGCAAAGCTTAGTATAATCCTACAGGGAGGCAGGAAATGGACTTATGATAGAATAGATTAATTTCAAATATTCCTGATGAAAAAAAAAAAGAAAACTAGAAGTGAGTAGGAATTTTGTAATACAAATACAAATCTAGAGAAACTTAGATAAATGTAGTTGAACAATTAGAAAGAATTATATAATGATATAATGCTAACATTCTAATAGGTGTAGAAGAAACAAGTGTCCTTTAAAAATTTTAATAAATTCAAAGGGTTTTGACGGTGTTACACTAAGAAATTTGGTGTAGAACTATATCAAATGCAACAAGTTAGAGATGGGATGTGGAAGGTGGAGATGGTATATTTAAGAGGGAGGATAATGCCAAGACAAAAATAACTGCAAACAAAATCCACTCCTTGATCCTGGGGTGGGGGTAGGGAATGGAAATCCAAGGTTGTCTTAGATTGCCTCATGGCATGATCAGCCATATTTCTGCGAGTGGAGAAAGAAATAGCAAATCACTCTACTATCTTTTCCAGG